GCCGCTGGTCGCCTGCTGCCACTCCTACCGGCCGCCTGCCAGTCATTCCCACCAGCCACTCTGCTGGATGCCGCCACTTCTACCAGCCACCCGTAGGTCATTCCTGCCAGCCGCTTCGCTGGCTACAACAGGTCTGGCTCCCAGCCAAACCAGTGATTTCAACTCTTTAGCCACCACCTAGACTGGCAAAATATTCCAGCTTCCACTGGAACTAGCAAAAAGACTCCTCATGGCATCTGCATTAGGTTTGTCCTTAAAACAAAGGGGCTACGTCTATATTGGCAAGATGTTGCGCAAATACTCTTTAACACAAGAGTTTTTGTGTTTAGAATATTTGAGTAAGAGAGTGTCTACATTGGCATGTGCCTTTGCGCAAAATATGTGCTTTTGCACAAGAGTATCCGTGCCAGTGTAGATGCTCTCTTGTGCAAGAAAGCTCCGATGGCCATTTTAACCATAGGGCTTTCTTGCACAAGAAATTGATGTTGCCTGTCTACACTGGCCTCTTGCACAGGAGCACTTGCACAAGAGGGCTTATTGCTGAGCAGGAGCATCAGAATATTTGTGTAAGAAGCACTGATTTTATACATTAGCCCATCAGTGTTCTGGCACAAGTATTTGTGGCCAGTGTAGACAGGTGGCAAGATTTTGTGCAAAAGCAGCCACTTTTGAGCAAAATCTTGCCAATGTAGACATAGCCGGGGGAAAGGGGAAGGTTGAGCCAGTCTTACAGTTCACACCTGGCAGGTATGAAACAGGCTGACTCAAGCCCTTTAGTCTTTCCCCCCAGCTCAGTCCACTCAACTCTGGAAGGGGGGAGGCTTGTTCCTTGGAGACCTCTTACAATAATGGTGTCTCTCCTGCAAGCACTGGTGTCATGTTTTACAGTTCCCACATTTAGGGGTAGCATGATTAGTGACCCCCACAACAGCCCCAAATTATTTACAGTACACCACATTCCATTCCAACATTGATCTTTCATCAGCCTTGGCTGAATTGGATTTACACAGCCACACCTTGGATTCCTTCCTCCTCCTGGCATGACCTGTATTTACATATCAACAATTAACAGTTAATTAACTTGCAGAGCTAAACAATTGGAGCGAGCACACCCACCCACAGGGCAGCTCTCTCCTTTTAGCTGGCTGATAGCAAGTAGTATTTCAACCCTGGCTTACACTCTCATGCTTCCCAGATATTCTCCAAAACCAGCAGCATGTTTCTTTCATACATCGGTCAGACCTGTTTCTGCTTTAGTCATCGCTTTAGTCATCCAGTGCACATTTGCCCAGTTCAGCGGGATCTTCTGGCATCATGATCTACCCACTAAGGCTGGGTAATGTCCTTTCACCACAAACAGTGGCAATTCAGCCGTCTGCCCATTGAGCTCCACTTTAACATCAGTAGTGCTCTGGAGGGGAACCGCTTCTCCCGCATACGTCTCCAGAACGATCTTTGTTGCCTTAAGTGGAAGGTGCTTTAGCTTTTCCTTATACACCGTGTCTGACACCAATGAAACTGCTGCACCGGTGTCCACTTCCATGCGTACAGGTTTGCCGCCCAACAATGGGGCTACCCCATATTCACGGGAGCCCCTGGCCAAAGACAAAACATAGCAGGGCCCTTCTTCTTTAGACGGGGTGTCACCTGGATCATCAGGAGTCTGCTCGATGGGAGGCAGATTTTCTTCTTTGTCCTGCCAGACCACAGGCATTTTTTCTTTTGTTTGCAGGCACGCTCAGTGTGTCCTTTTCCCCACACTAGCAACACACGAGGTTCTTACACCAGCATTCTGATGCACAGTGACCTGGCTTTCCACAGCAGTAACATTCCTATCTCCCCACCGTTTGGTGAGTTGGTTCTTGGACACTTCATGTACCCGAGGGGGTGTACTGAGGTATTGCGCCTCCCGTGTGGCCAGTTCCATGGAGACCGCAATATCAACGGCCTTCTGTAGAGTGAGCTGAGTCTCTGTCACACACTAATCTGTCCCATATGGTGCCGTTTAACATCTCTTGAAATTCACAACGTGCCACAAGTTTTTTCAAATTTGCTACAAATGGTACAATTGTTTCACTTTCTTTTTGGTCTTTGTAGTGGAACCTAGACCTTTAGGCAGTTACCAATGGTTCTGGAGCATAGTATAAAGACCTACTCTCTGCTACACAGTTTGCTGCTCCCTGGTAAGCCAGGGTATGTCTACACTGCATCCCTAGTTCGAACTAGGGATGCAGTGTAGACATACCCTGGCTTACCAGGGAGCAGCAAACTGTGTAGCAGAGAGTAGGTCTTAGCCCCTTAAAAATAATGGCGCTTTCTTCTCTTCCTTAATGTCATTCGCAACATCAAAAAGTTTCCTACCTTTAGTATATATCTGCCATTGCTCTACAGCACTGGTCCCCAACACGGTGCCCGCAGGCGCCATGGCGACCGTGGAGGCATTTGTGTGCGCCTGCCAAGTGCTCGGGGCCAGCCTGGGCACGTGGTGCATGCATGGTGCCAGAGCCGGCCCCGGGCGCATGGTGCACAGTGAGCGCCGGCCCATGGAGCGCCGTGGATTGGCCACCCACGTTCTGGGTATGCGGCACTTGGAGGGGGGGCGCCGGTTCCAGCGGGAAACCTTAAAGGGTTGGGGACCACTGCTCTACAGTCTCCTCAGAAAGTTCCAGTGGTCCTGTAAGTGTAGCCATGTGGCTGCTACAACTCCCTTCTTTCTTTCTTTCTTTCTTTCTTTCTTTCTTTCTTTCTTTCTTTCTTTCTTTCTTTCTCTCTCAGCCTCTGGGCTCCACAGGCTACATTTAGACTGCAGTCTTCTTTCCAAAGAAGCTTTTTTCGGAAGAGACCTTTGCAGCGTTCACACTGCAAAAGTACATCAAAAAGGTGATCTGCTTTTTCAAAAGAGAGCATCCACACTGAATGGACACTCTCTCGAATGAAAGCTGGGATTACTATGGACGGAGTGGTCACCAGGGCACCTGTGCTCTTTCCTCTTTCCTCTCTCCTCTTCCTTTGAAAGAACTTCCTCTTCCCCATTCATCCGGGCCTTATTGGGAAAGAGCTCTTTCAAAAAAGGCTTCTTCCTTGTAGAATGAGAATTACCAATGCTGGAAAATCACTTGGCTGTGTCTACACTGCACCCCTTTTCTGGAAAAGGGATGCAGATGAGACAAGTCGGAATTGCAAATGAAGCGGGGGATTTAAATTTTCCCCACTTCATTTCTATAAACATGACTGCCGCTTTTTTCCAGCTTGGGGCTTTGCCGGAGAAAAGCGCCAGTCTAGACGGGATCTTTCAGAAAATAAACCCTTTTCCGAAAGATCCCTTATTCCTGAATTTAAGAGGTATAAGGGATCTTTCGGAAAAGGGTTTATTTTCCGAAAGATCCTGTCTAGACTGGCGCTTTTCTCCGGCAAAGCCCCGAGCTGGAAAAAAGCGGCAGCCATGTTTATACAAATGAAGTGGGGAAAATTTAAATCCCCCGCTTCATTTGCAATTCCGACTTGTCTCATCTGCATCCCTTTTCCAGAAAAGGGGTGCAGTGTAGACACAGCCCTTCTGTTCTTTTGATTTTCTTGCAGAAGAATGCAATTGCAGCATGGACGTTCCTCACGTTTTGTCGGAAAAACGGCCCTTTTTCCGACAAAACTTTGTAGTGTAGACATACCCAGTGTTGCAGTCAGTTCTCACTCCCACCTTACTGAACAGCGAAAATGGTTTGTTTTTTTTATATATATATTTACTTCTTCCAGTGTTTCTCAACCTTTGTTTATAAAGTACCCCTTTTAAAAAAAAGATAACTACCCCCAGTACCTACAGTTTCCAGACACACACAATTTTTTTCTACCATTGCAACACATTCATTGAAACAACGTAATCGTAGCTGGGTGGGCGATGACATTTTTCGGTGTAAAAAGTACAAAAATAATAAAGCTCTGTAACACTTAAAAAAAATTCAGTTTCATTTCAGTTGTGTTGACGTACCCCCCAGACTTCTCTCGAGTTCCCCTAAGGGTACTCGTACCACTGGTTGAGAAACACAGGGCTAGGCCCCTCGCTGCCCCCCGCGGGGAGAGGGGGTCAGGAGTGGGTTATGGGCTGTCGGGAAGCAAGCTGGGCCGCCATCCCAGAGGTCAGCGTCCGAGCAGCCCCAGGGCAAACCCAGCGCTGAGTATCAGGAAGCAGGGCCTGGTTACCCAAAATTCAGGACCAGGTCAGGAGAGCAGGAAGAGAGGGGGAAAGACACCTTCCAGAGCAGGGCGGGAGGCGCAGGGAGGCAGGTTTGGCAGTGGAGAAGGTTCTGTTCCAAGGGCTAATCCCTGCCAGGTTCCCGACAGAGATGGGAGCAAAGGCTGGGTCCCTCCCCCACTCCCCGGCACAACCAACAGCAACAAGGTGTCTGGGGGTGGAGGGAGGCTCCTGGCGGCTAAAACGTTGCTCATCTGCTTAGATCCAGTGATGACAGTGACTCACAGGGCCGGCCTGTTTCTTGGGATATAAAGTGGCCCATCCCGGAGGCTTCTCAGCTTTTTCCAGGTCACAACCGCTGGGGACTCGTCTGCTCCCGAGGGCTCTGCAAGGAGCTGCAGGTGAAGCGGGGCCAGTCCAGTTCCCATTGTCAGCATGTCTGGCTGGGGGCGGGGGCATGGCGGCCGGGTGCAGAGGGATTGCTGTGGCTTGGGGAGTGGTGCAGGAAGGTGGTCCAGGGCATCCCATTGTTCCTGGGAAGATCATGGGGAAGCTTCTTGCTGCTATGGGAGTGTTACAGGCTGCCGGAGCATCACCCTGTTTTCTGGGGACAGGGGGCACTGCTCTGTTATTGGGGGATTATGGGGTGTGATGGGGCGCTCAGGAAGGACGGACGGTTTGGCAGTTCAGCAGCTCAACAGGTACTAGGGAGACATGGCTTCTAATCGCTGAGCTGCCACTGCCTGCCTGTTAGACAGTCGTGTAGCTGTTCTGTGCCTCAGTTTCCCCGGCAGTGCAATGGGGACTGTAGCCCTGCCCAGCCTCACCAAACGGTTGTGGGGATAAACACAGTACCTGGCTGCCATGATGGAAGCCACATAGCACTGGAGAGCTATTCAATTCTCTGTTGTTTTTTTGTGGGGGCTCTGTTACTGGGGCAACTGAGAAGGGGAACCAGAGGAGAGGGGTGGGCTCAGTACAGCTCATGGAGATCTTTGCCACTGGGCTTAAGATTTTGTCTCTCCCTGCCGCGACAGATCAGATGTTTCCATGGAACGTGCCCCTGGGGGAGCCTCCGGGTGGAAGTGGACGATGGAGCTGAGTTGGGGAGACCCCCCCCCATTCCCACCACACAGTCCCAGTGTGTTTATCCATGTGGGGCTCCGTGGCTAGCTGCAGGGCAGGGCAACAGCTTGTTCACACTGGACTCCTACGCAAGCCCCTTACCTGCGAGTCACCCTCCCTCCTCAAGGCACCTCTGGCCAATGATTCCTTGTCGCTCTCTCCCTGCAGTAAACCAGCGACGTCGCCGACTGTTCCCATCGCCATGGACACCATGCAGCTGCTGATCCTCACCATGCTGGGTGCCGGGGCAGCAGTAAGAAAAAGTAAGGAAGAGCATTGGGCGGGGTGGGAGGGTTCTGCAGTTTTGCCACAGGCCGTACAGGAATGTCTCAGACGGGGCTTAAGACAGGTTGCTGCTCCGGAAGCGCGAAGATCCAGGAAGCGCCTAAATCGGTTCCACAGGTTGCAAAAGGGAATTAACATAGACAGGCCTCGTCACTGACGAGTCTCCAGTGCTTGTGGAGCAGGCCGGGAGCTCTGGTTTTACAAGAGGTTTTCATCCCGTGTCGGGACATAAGGGAAGAATTTTGAAATTTCCCACAAACCAGAATGTTTTTTGGGGAAAAAAATCTGCTTCTCTGAGACATCAATGTTTTTACAAATAAAGCTTTTGTAAAAACATAGCACTTTTACAGAGCAGAGCGCCATTTCGAATAGAACGCTAATTCTTTTATGAAAAAACCATGCGACAGACATCATTTAAAAAAAATCAAAATGGCTCTTTTCCAGTAATGTCAGACTACCCATCCCATGACTCACCAGGCACCACTAGATAAGGAGAAGCCAGTGCATCATGGGAGTCCCGGGCTATGAGGCATCCTGGGAGCTGTCGTTTGATTGTGGAGCCCGGCCCACAGAGGTTGATTTGTTTATATCTGATAAAAGAAGTCGCCTGGCTACCAGCTCATTTCCAGACACTTTTAGCTTCAGCCAAATGGCATTTTCCAATAGGAAGAAAAAAGTTTCAATTATTTGTATTGCGGCAAAGCCGAGAAACTCGGTGGCCAGCTCTCGGCACTGCTGAGCCTGTGCTAACGGTGATTTCCGGAGACCGATCATTTGATCAGCTCTGGGGGCTTTTTCTTGGGAACAGCAAAAGGCTCTTTCCTGACTCTAGGGCCACAGTTCCCAATCACTGGTCCACAGAGCGGTGGGGGGCCATGAACCCCTGCCAGGCCACACCCCCAGCTGCTAATGAGCCCCGCCCACTTGGGCACTTCCCTATAAGGTGCGCACTTCCACACACGCTAACAGTCCTCTCTCTCCCACCCATGATGAGTGGCGCTGCAGACTGCCCTGTGCGCTGTGGCTGCAGCCGGGCCTTGGTAAGGCTGCCCCTTTGGGGGCAGCCTCACCATGGCTTTGGTTCCAGCTCTGGCAGTAATCACATGGCCTGGCTGATGGGGCTGCATGGTGGGTGGCTGCCCCGTGTCCTTTTCATTGTGGGGCCGAGCGTGCCAGGGGCAGGCACAATGGGAGAAGGACAGAGCCGCTCTCCCTCCCCCATGGCAGGCCACACAGAAATGGGGGGCGTTGGACCCTGCATCACCCGCCCCGTGTGGACTATGATCCCATCCCTGTCTCTGCTGGAGACACCGCACCTGGGACAGCCTCAGGTCGCCTTGTGCTCTGCACGGCTGCACACGAGCGGCGGCTCATGGCAGTTCACGGCCCTTCTGCCACCAGTCAATTCATACTGCCATGGCTGATGCTCGCCCCGGCTCCTAGCTGGTGTCTGGCTGATGTGAGCCTCTCTCCCCAACGGAAGTACATGTCATTGGGGCAAAGCCCTGCATCCCCGGCTCCCGGCCCTTCCAAGCAGCTCTCATGAAGCACGGACAAATCCACTGCGGCGGGAGCCTGATCGACAGGAAGTGGGTGTTGACTGCCGCGCACTGCAGCAAAGATATCTGGTAAGTCAGCGCGGGGGTGGGGGAGGGCGGGTGAGGCCATGTCCCCAGTTCTTATCTTCTCCTTTGGGACCCCCTTCTGTGCCCACCTCTCCCTCTGCCCCTCCCCCCTCTCCCAAATCTCAGCCTCCCATTTTTCCAGCCCTTGCACCATTTTGTGGCTCTTCTCTGCACCCTTAGATGTGGCTGCCCAGCCCAGAGGCGGCAGGCCCGTATGGCTCTCCCCAGTGGTGTGGGCAGAAGGAAACTCGCCCCCACCCTTGCCAGCATCAGTCCTTGGAGCATCCCCCTGGTTCTTCAAAATACAGCACTATTCCGACCGGTCCCGTAGCCCTCGTGGTGCGGAATAGCGTACCCACTATTTCGAAATAGATTTTGAAATAAAAGATGCATTTCAAGACACGGAATTGCTATTTTGAAATTCTTCCGGAATCCCAAAATAGCGCCGCTGTCTGGAGGTCCCCTCGCAGAATTCAGCCCAGAGGGGAGGGGAGAGTGTGAAGGACAGAGCTATCTTCAGGACAGGCCGTGTTTACAGAGCACTAGAAAGGTCACCTGCATTTTGAGAGCGCTTCCGCTTCAGCCAAACACCACACATTCATTCCAGGGATAACATTGTCATCAACTATTCCCCACATCCCCTCTCCATTCGGGGCTCTAGGCTTGAGCTGTGGGCTGATAGGAGCCTGATATCATAACAATGCATCTTGCACACAATTTTCAGATTGGGAGCGGTGGGAGTCTGTCAGCAAAAACACCGAGGAGTCCTGTGGCACCTAAAGGACTCACCTTCGGAAGGTCATGCCCAAATAAGTTAGTGAGTCTTTAAGATGCCACAGGACTCCTTGTTAATTATTCCTAACATTCTATTTACGATTTTAGAGACCTCTATCAAATCACCCTCTTAGTCTCTTCTTTTCTAAGCTAAAAAGTCCTAGTCTTTTAATCTCTCTTCATATGGGACCCGTTCCAAACCCCTCATCATTTTTGTAGCCTTTTTCTGAACCTTTTCAAATGCCAAGATATCTTTTTTGAGATGAAGCGACCACATCTGTACGCAGTATTCAAGATATGGGCGTACTATGGTTTTATACAGAGTCAATAAGATATTTTCTGTCTTACTCTCTATCCCCTTTTTCATTATTCCTAACATTCTGTTTCCTTTTTTGACTGCCGCTGCACACTGAGTGGATGTTTTCAGAGAACTATCCTCAAGGATTCCAAGATCTCTCTCTTGAGTAGTTGTAGCTAAATGAGTCCCCATCATATTGTACGTGTAGTTGGGATGATTTTTTCCAAAGTGCATCACTTTACATTGATCAACATTTAATTTCATTTGCTGTTTTGTTGCCCTTATGTGTGTGCACAGATACCTTTTGGTCTCTGGAGTTACGGACATTGTCCATGTAGCTCTGTTTCAAAGGTGTTTGCTCCTGGGGTAACATCCCACAAGGCAGTTTACTTCCCGTCTGGCCAGCACCTTGTGAAAGGGCCAGTTTTTCAGGAGCCTTATGCAGCCGGGTAGTTCATTTAAGCCTAGGGATGGAATTCCTGATTTTGGGTGAAAACGGCTGCTTTGGTAATGACAGAATGCCCCACAAATTCAGGACGGACTCAGCCGTGTGGGCTGGTTTTCCTGAGGATGGGCTTGCATATCACTGTGGATTCCTCTCTGGGCTTCTCTCTCCTGTCCATGGAGAGCCTCTCCCTGCTTGCACTTATTTCGAGGTTATTTCAGCCGGGTAAAACCGGGCAGAAGAAGCAGCCGTGTCAGCAAAAGTGGCTAAGAATGTGAGGAAGGGGAATCGTCAGACCAGGGAACAACTAAAGAACTATATTGCGTAGGTGTGGCAGGAGAACAAAGCATTTTATGTCCAGCCATTGGGCCTAAAAATAACTGAACCAACTATGCAGTGCACAATACCATGGAAATGGAGGATACATGCATAGGGTGAAACTTGAATATAAAGTAACCAATACTTGTATTTTTATGTCTGTGGCCTGCTCCATACGTGCCCTTCCCCATGGCTCTGCTCAGCTCTGTGAAGGCGAAGTTTGTGCCAAGAAAAAACCAAGATCAGATGTGTCTGGAGTCAAACTGAGCCATACGGAACCCAAACTGGCACTGGCGAGGTCTCAGAGGTCGCCTCTGCCCCAGGAAATCCACTCGTGGCCCAACACTACTTGCTTGTGTGCCACGAACTTTGACTCGCCTCCCCTTGATCTCCTCCTTTGCCCTGTCTCCACGCAGGTCAGTGCGGGTGCATCTGGGGGATTATAATCTGAAGACGAACGAAGGCACAGAACAGATTCGAGGAGTTAAAAATATCATCGTGCACCCAGGGTATAATAGCCGCCTTCAGGACAAAGACTTCATGCTCCTGGAGTTGGATGAACCGGCTGAACTCAATAGCAACGTGAAAACAATCGGCCTGGCGACCCAGTGTCCTGCGCCTGGAACAAAGTGCACCGTGTCAGGATGGGGCACAGTCACGACCCCCAAAAGTAAGGGGCCCTGAGGCATGGAAGGGAGGGATTGAGGTTGGGCTCAGCGTCGGGAAGGGGGTTGATGATCGTTAGGGAGACCTTGCTAACGGGTTGTCAACAGTCTTTGGCTTCTCACACGGGACATTTTTCAACTTGAAACAATTGTTGCTGCAAAATGCAGCTTCGACAACACCAACATCTGGGGAGATCTCACAAGAATATAAGAACATAAGAATGGCCAGACAGGGTCAGACCAAAGGTCCATCTAGCCCAGTGTCCTGTCTGCTGACAATGGCCAATGCCAGATGCTCCAGAGGGAGGGGTCACACCAGGTAATCCCCACATGATCTCTCCCCTGTCACCTACCTCCAGAGAAACAGAGGCCAGGGACACCATTCCTACCCATGCTGGCTAATAGCCAGGGCTTGACAAATTGCTGAATCTATTCGCCCGTGGCAAGGAGATTTTAGTTGGTCGTGCTACAAGCCCCATTCACCAGCGCTTTGCGCGTGCACAGTGCCAGTCTTGCGTATGCGCAGCGCATGGCTGGCAAGTGGCTCTGGCCGGTGTTTGCTTGCCCTACTAATAACCCTTGAGGGACCTAACCTCCATGAATCTATCTAGCTCTTTTTTGAACCCTGTGAAAGTTCTAGCCTTCACCGCATCCTATGGCAAGAAGTTCCACAGGTTGAGTGTGCACTGAGTCCAGAAAAACTTCCTTTTGTTTGTTTTAAACCTGAGGCCTATTAATTTTATTTCGTGACCCCTAGTTCTTATATTGTGGGAATAAGTAAATAATGTATCCTTATTCCAATTGTTTCCATACCAGTCATGATTTTATAGACCTCTATCTAATCACCCTCTTAGTCTCCTCTTTTCTAAGCTAAAAAGTCCCAGTCTTTTAATCTCTCTTCATCTGGGACCCGTTCCAAACCCCTCATCAGAGAACTATCCACAAGGATTCCAAGATCTCTCTCTTGAGTATCTGTAGCTAAATGAGTCCCCATCATATTGTACGTGTAGTTGGGATTATTTTTTCTAATATGCATAACTTTACATTGATCAACATTTAATTTCATTTGCTTTTTTGTTGCCCAATCACTTAGGGTATGTCTACACTAGCCTCTTATTTCGAACTAGGGAGGCTAATGTAGGCATTCAAAGTTGCAAATGAAGCCCGGGATTTAAATATCCCAGGCTTTATTTGCATCTTCCCGTTCGGTCGCCATTTTTAAGTCTGGACTAACTGCCAGGGCAGGGACCTGGTAGTTCGAATTAAAGCCCTAATAAAAACTCCTTTTTATTCCTCCTGCAAGCAGCTTTAACAGGTAGTTCGAATTAGGGCTTTAATTCGAACTACCGAGTCCCGGGCTTCATTTGCAACTTCGAATGCCTACATTAGCCTCCCTAGTTTGAACTAGGGGGCTAGTGTAAACATACCCTTAGTTCGGTGAGATCTTTTTAAAGCTCTTCACAGTCTGCTTTTGTTTTAAGTATTTTGAGCAGTTTGGTATCTGCAAATTTTGCTGCTTCACTGTTTACCCCTTTCTCTAGATCATTTAGATATAACTTGAATAGGATTGGTCCCAGGACAGACCCTTGGGGGTGGGGGCCCCCACTTGTTACATCTCTCTGCTCAGAAAACTGACCATTTATTCCTGCCCTTTGTTTTCTGTCTTTTAACCAGTTATCACTTCATGAAAGGACCTTCCCACTTAACAGCCTTTGGAGAGGGACCTTCTCAAAAGCTTTCTGGAAATCTAAGTACATTACATCCACTGGATTCCGCTTGTCCACCTGTTTGTTGACCCCGTCAAAGAACTCTAGCCGATTAGTAAGGCATGATTTCCCTTTACAGAAACCATGTTGACTTTCCCCAACAAATTATGTTAATCTATGTGCCTGACAATTTTATTCTTTACTAGGGTTTCAACTAATTTACCTGGTATTGACTTACCGGTCTGTAATTGCCAGGATCACCTCTAGAGCCCTTTTAAAATATTGGCGTCACTTTAACTATCTTCCAGTCATTAGGTACGGAAGCTGATTTAAATGATAAGTTACAAACCACAGTCAACAGTTCAGCAATTTCCCATTTGAGTTCTTTTAGAACTCTTGTGTGAATGCCATCTGGTCCCGGGGAGTTTTACTGTTTATTTTATCCAGAATAGCCTCTCTCCGGGTATGTCTACACTACCCCGCTAGTTCGAACTAGCGGGGTAGTGTAGACATACCCATAGTGCTAATGAAGCCCGGGATTTGAATTTCCCGGGCTTCATTAGCATAAGCGGGGAGCCG